TAAATTTAAATTAATAAAATTTAGGCCCCAAACCCATTAAAAAATCAGAAACCCAGGCTCGCTGGAAAATAGGATATTAGGCCCATACCTGGCTCGTGGGCCTGTGTGCGGCGGGCCAACCCGGCCCTCTGAGGGATGGCCCATTTGTCAAGGTAAGAGATATTCCAGTGGAGCGTTTATGATCTCCTAAGTTTGTGCCTGTAGGTTCGAGATGTCCGTCTTTGTTGAGGTCTGGCAAATTATGTTGTTTACAATCTTGTGTCTTACAAACCGCCCTTTTGAATATTTACAATGTAAAGAGTGATGCCCATTTGATATACATTTTTAAAATTTGTTAACTCTGAACAATTATTCTGAATTTCATATTTTGTCATTTATTATATTATGCATACAAAATAAACTGGCATATAAATAATTAAAACAATTTTCTAAAAATAATATTTTTTAATACAAAATCTATTTATATTGGTATAAATTATTTTCGATTGCTGATATAAAAAATATTTGCGTCTAAAGAATTACAAGTGATAAAAAAGTTTAATTTATTCATACATATTGAAACTAATATAACTCTCTGTTACCATTTTAGACAATGTTTTATAGAATGGACTAATAAGGAAAAATTTATAGGCTTAACTAAATCAACAATTCTTGAAGAAAATATAAACGGCCAATCCAAATCATTAAACTATATGGTGGTTAGAGCTTCCTCTTAGATAATATGATGGAAGCTAGATAAGTAATCGAGAAAATTATTGTGAGATATTAAATTTATAAAAGATTATCTTCCATTTTTAATGGTATATAAACGACTACACAGTTGACCTTTATTGCTTATAAAATATGCAATCATATGCTCTCAGCAGCTGTAGTAATAATCTTAAATTACATACACACACAAATAATAGATGCTGGTTAATTTACAGTCATAGCTATGACGCTCACGATGGTAACCCATACCAGAATTTATTATGTTAGAATTAATAAAACAAAAACACTAAGAAGAAATTGAAGAGTAGGTGGTGAGCCTATAATAAATAATTTATTCTCTTTTTCAATCTACTATTTATTTATTTTTTACAAACTAAAATTAGAATATAATATTAAAAAGGTTAACATATAAAAATAAAAGGTAAAACTAAAATGAAAATATAATTTGAATAAACAGAATTAAATGCATGTGCGTTACATAAATTAAAACATATTACTATTCAATAACCAAAATATATAATTTAATTTATTAATTTCTATAATATAACATTCTCCCTCTTCTAAAAAAGCCTTCTGATAAGTTCATCTAAGCAGTCATAGAGAGTTTGTTGTCCAAATGGTTTATTGTTTTGGTTGTCAATGTTGCATCAGTCACATCTTAATCGTTGGCCTGTCCAAATCGTTGGTTTGTTTAAATCGTATGATATCCTTATCGAAAGTTGTCTCCATAAATCATGATTTTGTCATATAGCTTGCTTGGACTCAGTTGTTATTATTATCATTTTTCAAAATTGTTATTATCAATAAGTTGCGAATAATGAGAAATAATAATTCATCAAGTTGATATAAAAATAAGTGAAGAATGATAAATCAATAAGATTGTTATATAATATTTTTAGCGTTTTAATTATTCGCGTTTTAGTGTCCAATTTATTTTTTCGCGTTTTAGTGTTTAATTAATTTTTTGCGTTTTAGTATTTAATTTATTTTTATTTATATATTAATATTTTCAATCCACGAGGTTAAAATATGCAAATAAAATATTATTCACATTTCCCTCTCTTTAAAAAGAAAAATTTAATTTCACACCCTAGTTTTAATTCAATAAGTCTTTTTTAAAAATAATAATTCTTCATAAGATAATTTTTAGAAAATGATCTCCTCATCACATCTTTAAATATTTTTATAAAATGATTTACATTCTTGAAGGCTTTAAATTGCAAAATCTTTTTATCACATTAAGTATTACTTTAAGAGTTATTTTAATTTTATAATTTTCTAATATCTGCATTATTTTTTTATTTAATCATATGGTTTTTATCTATTAAATCTTTTAATTCATATGTCTCAATTCAATTACATTTTGATAAATCATATTTCTTGTTCAGGATTTTTAATGGTTTAACTTTGTAATATTTATAACTATATCTAAGAACTTAATTCGTTACACAATTGGTCATAATTCAAGAAATCAAAAATATCAATAGGCATTTCACTAAGAAATTCAATAAGTAAATAATTTTTTAGGCTTTTTATCATCTTTAGGTAATTCAATTAATTTACACAATTGGTCATAATTCAAGAAATCAAAAATATCAATAGGCATTTCACTAAGAAATTCATTAAGCAAATAGTTTTTTAAGATTGATTTACATTTAAATTATTTTATTAAGTTAATTTCTAGGCATAGAATTTTAATTTATAATAACTTTTCTTAAAAAGGTTAACATATAAAAATAAAAGGTAAAACTAAAATGAAAATATAATTACAGAATTAAATGAATGTGCGTTACATAAATTAAAACATATTACTATTCAATAACCAAAATATATAATTTAATTTATTAATTTCTATAATATAACAGAAATTATGCAATTATATTGAAGCCTGAGTTATTTACACGGCAAGGATGACATATTAGAAATGAAACATTTTGTGACTATAAAATAATAACCAGAGTGATATTATGAAAGCAATTAAAATTTCCCATATTATTGTCGCACCATCTCTAGTTGGTATGTTATATCCTAAAATAATAGTAGTTTGTAATAATATCAAATAATTCTATTAAAAATTTAACTCAAAACTGTTTTTCGAAAAAGAGATAAAGAGATTTCCTAAAAACACGTAAAAAAAGAAAAGATATCTAATTTATTACCTCCATTATAGGATAAATAACAAAATGTTTATTTTTTAAAATTATTTATAACTAAATAGATAGCGTTAAATACTTGCATGCAAAATGATACTATATTTATTAATATTAGTAATATTTATTATTGTTGTATGATACAACTTATATTATGTATTTAAAGTAGTGTTTTCAATTACATTTATGTTTAATATTACTTTTTGACAAATGTTTCACTTAAGGCGAAAAGAAGATATAACGTGATTGGAAACAATTGATTTTCGAGATATATAAAGAATGATTATTTTTACGTCATACGTCATAATAAGCGCAATTACCCTTTATCGCTATATGAAACAGCAGAGCTACGCTTGGACTATCTCATCCCCATCTTATTGGGTTAAGAAATTTGGGGGTAGCCTATGAGATGAGCCCATCCACAGTTTTTGGGCAGGCTGCAGTTACCTGTGCGCGCAAGAGGCAAACCACTTGCTTAAACACCTACGGGAGATAAGAAGAGAGAGAAAAGCCCGTACCCGATTAAGTAAAATGTATATTATAGGGAGGGGTATTGGTAAATTTTAAGTTTATGGTCTATATTGAATTTGTTTATTTAATATAAATATGATATATTTTTTAAAATAAATCTGCCTTACTATTTAAGAATATTAGATTAGTGAGTTAAGTATATTTTGGATAATTATATCAAGGTTAGGTACATGAAGAGTTTTATAAACAAATAAATAAATGTATGTTTACCATGGCGGGAGGAAGGTGGTGCTTATGCTACAGGGGGGACTGAGAGATTTGGAGGGTGTAGGTAGCCGGATTTGATTTTTAGAAGCTTTTTTATTGAGCTTTTATTATTGTTTAGACGTATGAATTGTTCCATCGTCAGATTTAGGCTTATGACTTCTTTTATCGTACTGTATAGCCAATATGACTTGTATTTACCGTATGTTTTACCTTCATGAGACTCGAGCCAGATTATAGCTTCATGAACTATGTTTTGTCTGAAGTTTCTGATGGTGTGACCAAAGAGTTGGATGTGCCTTTTTTTGAGAGTAGTCTGGATCGGGACGTTTTTTGAGATTCGCCATAGGCTGGCATTTGAAATTATTCTTGGATAGAAAATACCATTGAGCTGGCGCAAACAGCGGTTTACGAAAACCTGTATTTTCTTTGTCTGGGATTTATTTATTTCCCAAGTGTGGCTTCCGTAGAGGAGGACTGGAATGACTGTAGCATTAAATATTCGGAGTCTCGTTTTGACTGATATCTCTCTGGCTGTTTATAGTTTGTAATATTGAAGGTTATTTTGGCGTTTTTTAGTCGAGCTTCAATTTCACCGCTGATATTTCCTTTATTATCAATAAGCACGCCAAGATATTTAAAATTGTTAACTATTTTAATTTCATTTCCCTCAAATGTTAAGTTATTTATAGAAACTTCTGGGGATGGCATAATGGAAGTTTTATTAAAGTTGATGGTTAAACCTACTTTGTTGCTATGAAAGCATAGACTTGTAAGTAAGTCTATTGTCTCATCTCTTGATTTGGTGATTAAAACCAGATCATCTGCGTATGAGATGATTCTTAGGTGATAGATATTATTATTGTTTGATGATATATCAACTAGGTTCATGGTGCTCGTGGTTTCCTTTATAATTTTGTTTATGATTATATTGAACAGAATAGGTGATAGTACACAGCCTTGTTTTACACCTCTTTTAATCTTGAAGTAAGGTGAGAAAGTTTGGCCTAGCTGTAATTTGGCCCAAGAGTTATTGTAATGGTACTTCAAGATTTTAATTATGTTAAGATCAATGTTGCAGTCTACTAAAGCTTCCCAGAGGACATTGTGTTTTACGTTATCGAAGGCTTTGCTGTAGTCTACGAAAGTAAATATGAAAGGGAGTTTATATCTGAAGCACTTCTGGAGATAGATTTTAAGAGCTAGAATGGGTTCGTTAATGTTTTTATTTGGCCTGTAGGCGCAATTATTATTTGATAGGAGGTTTTTGGTAGAAGCTAGGATTCTATTCTTCAGGAGAACCATGAACACCTTTGAGACTGTGGAGGTGAGAGCAATGGCCCTGTAGTCTGCGAAAGATGAAGGATGGAGTTTCTTGGGGAAGTTGCAGATTGTGGATTTATTTCAATCATCTGGGGTTTTGCCTGAATGCCATATTTTTGTGAATATGGCTAATAGATATTTAGAAATGCTTTCTGGAGCGGCTTTCATGTGTTCATTTATGATCCCATCAGAGCCGGGAGCTCTATTGTTTTTTAGTTTGTTTATGGCTCTGTTAATTTCTGTGAGGGAGAAATCGGCGTGGGGTAATGGCAAGATTGTCTGTTGGGGGCTCACTATCTTGGAAGGGATCCTGGACTCAAAGGCTGACATATAGAAGTCTGTCCAGATGGCCATTTGCTCTTCAGGGTCTGTGTATTTGTTACCTCCTTGTAAATTAAGTATTGGTAATTTCTTAAAGCATGCTGGTTTGCAGAAGTGTTTGAGCTTTTTGTAGGCGTCATGAGTTTTGTTGTTTCTCATATCCATTTCTATTTCTTCTGCTCTCTTTGCTAAGAAGATCCTACGATCACTACGTAGTAATCTCTGAATGCGTTTCCATAGTTCTAAATTGCGGCTGCTATCGTTTTTTATCGATAGGATTAAGTTTTTTGTATTTACTGAGAGCCATTCTCTTTTTGGTATTTGGCTATGGTTGAGGTTATTGTAGGCGTGGAAAATAGAATTTTTGAAGTCTGACCAACATTCCTCTAATGGTTTGGTAGGGAAGGACTGAATAGTCCTAGTTAAGCCTGAGCATATTGTTTCATTGTAGGCTGTTTTGTTTATGTTAGTGAAGTGCCATTTGGTAGGTTGTTCTGGCGCTGTGTGTATGTGCTATGGAGGCGCCTGGTATTATTGTTCCTCCATTCATCACTTCGTATTATTATATGTGCTTTGATTAGTTTGTGATCTGATATATTTATGTTTAGGATGGCCTTTACATCTGCAAACCAGTTATGGATATTAGATAGGAAGAAGTAGATCTGGGAGGAGTGGCCACCTCTTGTGAAGGTCATGAGGTGAGGAGGTTTATGTTTGAAGAACGTGTTTTTTTTTTTTAGATTGTTATCAAAACATATTTGGAGTAGTTTTTTTCCATCTTTATCGTTGCTGCTATATACTGTTGTATGGCCTATAGTTTTGCTTACTTTGTATGTTATGTCATGACCTATCTTAGTATCGAAATCTCCCATAGCTATGATATTGTATCTTTTTGGTAAAGAGCTTATCATGTTATCTAGATGTTCTAGGAATAACATTCTTTCTGTGAGTTTAGGGGGGACGTAGACATTGAGGAGGATGGTGGGTTTGTAGGCGGTATTCAGGTATAGTACAGCAATTCTTTCGGTTATAGGGACAAATTTTATAATGTATTTTTTGAGCTTATTTTTGATAAGGAAGGCCACACCTGACCATTTATTGATCGTGGTTCCAGAGCTATAGTATATATAATTTGTAAATTGGGCCGAATGGTTGTCGGGGGAGTGGGTTTCCTGTAATCCTATTATGTCGGTAGAGTCATTTGATAATAGCGTCATAAGAATTGACATTTTGTCTTTGATGCCATTAATATTTAAGGAGGATAAGAAAAGGGACCCGTTTAGCATAGTTTTAACGGGGGGATTAAGATTCATGATGTAAGGTTTGGTAAAAAGATTTTTCTGAACTTGTATTTTGCTATTCCGTACAATATTTTGAGCTAAAGAGTTACGTGAAGGACTAAATACAGTTAGAAAACTATATATCTTAAGAAAATTAAATCTTTTATAAAATAAATTTGGGTGAAAGCGACAAAAAAGAAAAAATTATGGAGAGAAAATAAATAAGCGAAATAATAACCTTTAATCCGGAGTGTTTACTGGGATCCGAGTGATTGGGTAAATTTAAAATAGTTTAAAATACTTTTAAAATAGTTTTAAGTATGGCAGAAAATTTCTTAAATATAAATGAGTGAAAAGAAAATAATTATGTAGAACTATTCTAGTTGTTTCCGTTTCGATATCTTATTTATTACAGAAAATTAAATAAAATAATTAAAATAAAAAAACATGGAGATCATAATAATTTTGTAATTTGCATGTTGTTTATTTATAATATTCAAATTTCTAGAATTTATAAATTAAATTAAAGTAAAGTTATGGTCATTTTGGAAATATAAGGAAAAGAAAACAAACAAAAAAAATAAAAATAAATAAATAATAATATGGAATCCAAAATGGAGGATATGGAGGGGGAGATTTAAAAATAAATAAAATAAAATAGAATGGAGGAGGGGAGATTAAACAGAAAAGTAAGATGGTGAATAAATTAGTTAAATTAGTCCTAAAAATATATTCTATGCTAAAATTAATTGTATTTTATTGTATTAGAAATTAAGGTCTTAAAGGATTTAAGACTATATTAAATTTGATTATATAAGAAATTTGAGTCTATACTTAAATTGATTATAATTAAGAGAATAGGTCTTAAAGGATTAAAGGAACTTAGTTCTCATTTTTATCTTATATGTTAAGAATAAGGTTTTACAGAGATATTGAGTAAAGTATATATGTTAAATATATATCTGGAAGAGAAGGTGAATACAAAATAACCTGGGTACTTTTATAGTACGCGGTGAAATTCCATCATATATAACCCACAGCTGCTAAAACATATCAAAATATAAAATAAAAAATTAATACTTGTGCTTTGAGACAACAATCATTGTATTCTCACAACAAAAAGTTTAGGTTATAATTCTGAGTGGTATATACGATTTCCCCAATCTCTACCATTTTCAACATCCATTTATCAAACTACATCTCATATAACCATATCATTGTGTCAATTCTTTCTCACCATTTCCAAATAGCATGTCATTTCTATGAATGTTTTAATTTTCACATGTTTTAATGGATCCGGTTGAGTTTTTGTTTCGATCAGTATGGCCATATCAATTTTTCTGATCCATTACTTTTACTTTAATTCGGCTTTTTATTTTTTGAAATATGATATCTTTGGTATGGTAACACTATTTCCTGCTTTCTAGAGTCATTTTACGCTGTCATTACGAATTGGAAAGTTTTCTATTGAATCTACTCATTCATTGATAAATTTTTTAAATTCATATGTTCTAGGATGGATCAATATATAAATTTATCCCAGTTAAGAATTTAACATGTATTTAGTTTGTAAATTTAATTTCCTTTCAAAAATTTCCATTTTTTAATGATTATTTTTGATAGACAGATAAAAAAAACCATTATTTTTATTTTCTTTTGTATAACCATATTATTCAATAAAAAGATCACTTGTTTAACCATATTATTAAATAAAAAGATCACATCACATCCAAGTTATTCTATATATTTATTCTTATTCATTAATTATAATATTAACTGTATTATATTATATAACTGTCAAATACGTCTATAAAGTGGCATTTTATCTAATATTTTATAATCAACTGTATATAATAGAGGATTATAAACTATATGTCTATTTACTTACTTTTTATAAAGAAATCTCTTATACTTATTTGGACCTTGAAAATATTTTTAGGAATAAGTATGATAATTAAATTTAAAATAAATATATAGTATTAGTCATTTTGAAGTTGGCTAATTACAATATTAAATTTGGTAGTTTTTAGTTAATAAATGATTATATTTATTTAATTAGGGTTATATAATAATTAAAATGATATTTGTTACTTAAGCTTCAACTGTTAATGCTAAATTAATATTTAGTGAGTGATATTTATATTCTATTTTTAACACATAATTTGAGTGCAAGCGTGACAATATAATTTATATGTATTAATCTAATCTAATATTTAAAATATTATTCTTTTAATAAAAATTAAGACAGTCTTATTAATTTTTAAATAATAAAATTAAATCTATAAATTACTTAATAGAATTATAAAAGAAACCATTCAGGGGGCAATCAAAAAAATTTATTTTTGTTCAAGGGTTTAAGATTCCATTAAAAAAAAATTTTTTTGCTTCAGGGGGCTATTCAAATTTTTCAGGGGGCTCGAGCCCCTGCGCCCCTTCTCCTAGTGACGCCACTGGTTAAGTATATAAAATAAATTACCACAGGCAATAGTAACACAAACTATTACACTTTAAAATTCATATTTAAAAATAATCAATGAGATATAAAAGAAGTTAGAATAATATTTTGTAAAATATATAATATCAAAAAAGAAAATTATTTATATAAATGACTCATTTATATCACCACTAAAGATCCCCACCTGGGTTTGGCTCTAGACCTATGGACGAATGCTCCAAATTCTCCCTTATGAGGAAAAGAGATAGAAAAAAAACAGGAAGGTTTTTAAATGAACTGACAGTCGTTAATAATTTATACATCTTTTACAAATTTTACAAGTGTTAGATTAATAACCTAAATTAAAACTATTATATTTACTAAACATGTTTTATTACTGCCCATATTTGGCTCCCCTTACTTGGCCAAAATTCTCACCCAACCTCCGACTAAGACCGACACCTTTCCAAACCCTCGCCCGAAGGTCACTTTCCAACCCCTGTCCGAAGCCTTTCATAAATCTCTTTAATTTTAGCGATTTTATTAAAAACTCAATTGAACTTTAAGTAATACCTTTATGATCTATTACTTTTCTTATCAATATGAATTTTGAGAATATTATGGAAAAATGTTTAAAATTTTTTCTTTTCACGTTTTTGAAAAAATAATTAAAATGCAGTCCTTCATGTTATAAAATTAACTAACTCTTCTAATTTATAGTTAAGCTTAAAATTTTAATGACATATGAAATTTTTAATTTAATTTCTCAAAATTACTAAAAAATTGTAATCGGCCTCTCTTCATAATGTACTAATACAAACAAATTAACTATTGTGATTGTTTTATTTAATGATTTGTTTTAAATAATGTAAAATCAAATTTTGAATTATAGTAATTCCTCAACCAGTGATATCCAACTTTTAGAAACTATTAATTATAATCTTAAACCTTCAAAAAGATGCCGACAATGTTTTAAACATTTCACCTTATGTAGTTTTAATAGACATAAATGTGTTCTTAAATAATGATATAGTTTTAAATGCTAACAACATAGGCGTAGCCAAGGGGAGGTGTAAGGGGAAATCCCCCCTTCAGAAATTTATCACTTTTTGTGAATATCATTTTAAGCTAATAAAAAATATCCCCCTTAGTCCTCCTTCCCACTCCCTGACCCCCAAAAATGTATGCATATATCTTAAACAATAATTTGAAAGAAAGAATGTAAAAGTTGATATTTTTTTTATAAAACTATTTATCATAATTTATACATTTTTGGGAAAAAGCATTTGTATATAAAAAAAGTGAACCAAAAATGTTTTTTAAGAAATGGAATATAAGCCAAAGATAAGTCTTAAGACAAAAGTGAAATGTATTATAATTATTAACAATGGATCCATAAAATTATTAAATAATATAATATATCAAATATAATATATCAAATATAATATATCAAATATAATATATCAAATATAATATATCAAATATAATATATCAAATATAATATATCAAATATAATATATCAAATATAATATATCAAATATAATATATCAAATATAATATATCAAATATAATATATCAAATATAATATATCAAATATAATATATCAAATATAATATATCAAATATAATATATCAAATATAATATATCAAATATAATATATCAAATATAATATATCAAATATAATATATCAAATATAATATATCAAATATAATATATCAAATATAATATATCAAATATAATATATCAAATATAATATATCAAATATAATATATCAAATATAATATATCAAATATAATATATCAAATATAATATATCAAATATAATATATCAAATATAATATATCAATATAATATATCAAATATAATATACCAAATATAATATATCAAATATAATATATCAAATATAATATATCAAATATAATATATCAAATATAATATATCAAATATAATATATCAAATATAATATATCAAATATAATATATCAAATATAATATATTAAATATAATATATCAAATTTAATATATCAAATATAATATATCAAATATAATATATCAAATATAATATATCAAATATAATATATCAAATATAATATATCAAATATAATATATCAAATATAATATATCAAATATAATCTATCAAATATAATATATCAAATATAATATATCAAATATAATATATCAAATATAATATATCAAATATAATATATCAAATATAATATATCAAATATAATATATCAAATTTATACATATTTTTATAAAAAAACGAAAAATTATACTTTCTATATCGTTTTCTATTATGTCTTATTTCTTATGTAATATAGTATCTAAACAACCATCAGTCCTTGATCATATTCATACCATGCTGCAATAATGTCCTTGGATCTTTCTCTCCCAAACTAGCAATAACCAAGCTTTTAGCTCTTTATTCACAATCAGCTGTTTATAATTCTCCTGAATTCTTATCATCATTAATGATTTTATTCAAAATAATCAATAATAACCCCATCATTCAAAATTGTTGCTGGCCTATAGTTAATGTATGAGTCAAATTAATTTTTTCTACTACATGAATACTTAATATACCATCCCCTGTATGTCATC